GCCACAGGAAGGCTGAGCTGATCGAAGAGGTAGGAGGCGTAGGCTGGGTCCTGGGGCGGCGGCCACTGTAAAGATCATTCAACATTTTCAGGAAGAATTCATTTTCATCCCCTCCACATACAGCCCTCAGTGTAAAGGTCTAATGTCATCATACAGGCACAACAGACTGTGTCTACCTGTCCCAGTGGTGCACGCAAACCACAACTACAGAGAACACAACAGGACTTCATACATACACTGTCATGTAGACAGGAGGAAACTGAAGAGTCAGCATGCACACATTCACACACAGCTCTCAATAATCCTGTCAGAACATGAGAAGTGGAAGCTGTGAGGATACCGTCACTCAGCCAGGTCCAGTCTGGGCTCATCACTCACAGCACTGACGAGGTCTGATCACAGCTGACAGCGCGGACACACACCAGGGTGATGTCTGCATGGAACAGACGTCAGATAGAATCAGGAACAAGATGTTCTACAGCACTTTTGTGACCAGAGACTCGTTTTGTGAAACTTTATGTTGTGAGCAAACTGACACTTTATGATGGAGCAGCTGCTCGGTGTGAGCTTCATTCATCGTCCAACACAAAGACCTTTCCACAGTCTGATGTGCAGCAGACGTCCGTCATCCAGCAGCTGCTCAGCTTGTAAACACAAACACACACACACACAAAGCCGGGCGTACGGTGGCAGCAGCAGGACATAAAACCTGTCAGCTGCAGATTTACAGACGGGTCTGTCGGGATGTGACCTGCTGTCGACACGAGTCACTGCTCCTCAGTGCAGGTCAGCTCCCGCCACAAGTGTCAGAGTCACACACAGCTTCACACAGAGACGCTGACGTGTTTACAGCTGAGCAGACGCTGCAGCAGACTGTCCACACACAGCTGCAGACTGCACGTCACCCTCTGCCTGTAGTGGCAGAGATCTGATACTTTTCAGTTAGACACCAGCAGCTGAGTCCTGACAACACACCTTTATATTACAACTAATGTCTTTACTTTCATGACTCAGCAGCTCAGTGAACTCACAACTCACTTTCTCTGTTTCACTCGTATACAAATCACTGTGTGTGGACAGTGCACAGGTCAGAGGTTTACTGGCCATCCAGCAGCTAGCTTAGCATTAGCGGCAGTGACTGCACACACCGCTACCTCCCACGCTGAACGTCAGCGAGCCAGCAACACACAGACAAGCCACCACGTCCCAGAGCAGTCTACCCACTAAACACAGGCCGATGCTGACCTCCATCGAACTCCTGATGAAAACATCTGGAGTTTCAGGGGCCTCAAAAACTAGAAACATGTCAACGCTCCAATAAATAACCAAGGAAACATGTAACTGTCATTTTTAACATACACAGATGACTGTCAGTTTTATTCACCGACACGTTTTGTCTAATTTTTCAGTGTTAAGAGTTTTTGCTGATGAAATGAAACTTTGAAGCTTCAGCTTCATTTTCCAGAGACTGAGTGTGTGTTGTGCTGACGACACCGACAGAACTGGAACTGCTGTGTGTTCACCAGCTCAGGCTCCTACTAGTTAGTCACATACTTTTTGAATGACTGCAGCGCTGTATGTTTGCACAGTAGCTGAATACGGCCGGTGCACTTTTACAGCCCAGCATCAGTTTCAGTGTGTAGCATGAAGGTTTCTTTCTCAAACAGAAACAAGCTACTACATCTCAAACTGACCAATCACTGTGCAGCTCCACTCTGACTTTTACAGCTTCTTTGTTTGACCCCTGACCTCTCGACTTTCCCCTGCAGAGCAGCTGGCAGGAGGAGCAATCCAACAGGCTACAAACTGAAGATTTATGAACTTTAGGGCCAAGTCGTCCTGCAACATAAAACAGCCTCTGATGATGAGCTTTATCTGAGGATTTGCTGCTCTGGTGAAGTGACAGCTGATGTTTGAATGAGCTCAAAAGGAGGAAGAGAAGTAAAGACAAAATAGCAAGACAAGCAGAGGTAAAGCGCTGTTCTTAAAGTTTAACTATTAAATTTATGTGCTGCATCATCACTCACACAGCCAGTGTCCTGCAGCCCTTCAGAGGATCGAAACACTCCCAACCAGACATTCATGGTCCCAACCATGCAGAACATGGAGAGCAGCTTCTCTGCAGCTCTAACAGCTGAAACATCCTGAGGTTACCTCTGACAAACAACAGCTTCAGCGTGAGCAGGGCTTTGTGTCTCAAGTCAGACAGGAACCATTTGCTGTCTGTGCCTCTGCTCCTTTGTGACTGCATCACTAAGTTGATGGTCAAAATGGTTCAACAGCAACAATAATTTATTTTTTTTGTGAGTCTGGCTCAGGCTAATGCACAGAAGCAGGCTCCTGGTTCTTGTTAAACTGACTTGTTTAAAGAAAGAAAGTTTTCCCACTTGGTTAAAATGTTGTACACGATGTATTTGTCCTCATTCATGATAAACTATCATCTGAAGCTACAGCGTCCTATGTGAAGATTTTATCCACTGAGGAAACATCTGAATCTGATGAACCTTCAGTGAAAACTAACCTGCGTGTCAGCTTAGTCCTGTGGTTTTATCCTCCTCATCAGTTCCTTCATCCGTCTGCTCCTGAAGCTGCCTCTGCTCTGAGCCCTCTGCCTCCACAGCAGCAGCCTGTGACACTGTCTTTTCACTTCAGGCCTGTAAATCTCATCCTATTCACACGTCCTGACAGCGGGCGTCACAGCAGCTGCAGGACTCTGACTCAGCTCAGATAATGTAGTGCAGTACAATGCCACGCTTGACTGTGACCTCAATAATAATTTATACATTTACGACAATTTCACCAGACACTGACATTTTCAGCTTCATAAACACTGATGTTAAGGTGGAGGTGTTGTATTGAAGTACAGGTGAACGAGTACTTTAAGTACAGGTGTACCTAATAAAGTGGCCCATGAGCATACCTGTGTACATGTAGTAGCAGACTGAGCAGTGAGCAGCTGCTGAGAACTTGACAACAGGACCCTCGGGCAGCTTCTGCTCCTCTGGTTTCTCCTTCCCTGTTGTCTTTGTCCTGTTGAGGGTTAAAATGAGTTCAATTACTGAAAAGCACAGTGAAGATGGCATCATAATAAAGACGATTTAAACTCTCGTCACATCAGCTTAGTGTTTGTGTTGCTGTGGTTTTCTGCCTGAATGTTCCAGAAAGTGTTTGTCTCCGTGACCGACACTGAGCATATTTGTCTTCTGGCTCCTCTGGGTTTCGTCCACACAAACTCTTAACAAGCACTGAAACAGAAAACAAACCGACATCTTACTGGACTGAGATTGTTTTCATTCTGCAGAGAAAATTGATTTTTCCACTTGATTCATTTCAGTCGACACTCACATTAATCAGCACAGTAATCCTCTCTCTGGATATGAGAGTGTTTTCAATGCTAATTACACTTTGAATGTGTTTGAGGTAGCTGAAGGTGAGAGCTGAGCTCCCTCATCTAATTAGCTCATTAATCACAAGCGCTGCTGGGAAGACGCCAGAGAAGCGCGTCTGTGCTGGGTTTTATTTTGTTAAAGAGAACTACAAGCAGCAGAGCCGAGGACACGTCGGCATGACGGTTCAGCTCATCTCTGCTCAACAGGAACATCTTTGTTTACAGCAGAGACGTCTCTGACTGTTCCAGCAACTCAACACCTAGAAAACAGTTTTAGCAAATGAGTGACGTGTGTCAAGACTCACATTTCTGGTTTGTGGTCATTTTGTGTCTCTTTCTGGTAATGCTGCCATGTTTCAACAGAAAGGTTCACAGTCATTTCTGGTCTGGGCCTGTTGAGCTGCTCACACATCCATCTGTGACACTAAGAATCCACCTACCTATTTCCTGATTCTGCAGCAGCTAGAGGGCACTGTCCCTTGAACAAACTTTGTTAATGTCCATTTGCAGCAGTTCCTCAGATGCACCTCAGCCCAGTTACAAAGCTCTGAGTGGACTGAAAGGGGAGGAATCCACCTCCCTTCCCTCAGAGGGTTTCTCCAAACATCTAGATTAGAAGCAGACTCTACTCTTCATTTCACTGAAACTGCACCGGGCTCCGAGCAGCATTATCTAACAGTGCAGACAAAACCTGCCTATCTCCACCAGACAGCGGCCACACATCTCCTCTCCAAATACCAGCAGTCTAATCTGTGAGGCATCAAATGCCGGCCGGTCTGAGGAGGACAGGCAAACAGCTGAGAGTCAGAGTCATGATAAGCATGAGGATGGAGACACTGCAGGTGCAGCAGCACTGTGACGGACTGAAGGAGTAGAAGCAGAGACAGAGAGAGAAATCCACCTGACTCAGAATAGTCCGACCTTTCAGTCTACACATGGACTGTGTTAATAGAGACAAGAAGGAAATGGACCCTGTCCTTTAATGTGATTGTAAAGAATCAGCGTTGGCTGTTTCTCACATAAACCTCCTCGTTCTGCTTCGATAATAAAAAGGTGTTTGTCCATTATTCAGCAGCCACTTAGTGTCACACATTCCTCCTTCTGCAGGAAACACCAGATCATCAACCAAGTGAAACGGGACATCTGTTCTCAGTGTACGGTCCAAGTTCACACTGGGAGTTGGAGCCAGGTTGCGACACCTCTTCACTACACCAGACGCGACTTTCTGCCTGATGTGCAAGAAATAAATATGTACATTGTGAAAAGTAGCAACATGTCGGAGCAGTGCAGGGAAACATCATTTTAAATGTTGACAGCTGACTGTAACTCTGATCGTGAGCTGTCCGGCTGAGGATAAATGAGTCCCCCCTCCTCACATCTGTGTGAGACGAGAAATGGAGTCTGGGCAGAGCTGCTTCCTGCTGCAGGCAGCAGCAGACTGAGACTGATGGCGTTCTGCTCCCTGCAGCATCTGCACGCCAGCCCCATCCTTCAACCTGCTGCTGCCTCAGACATGTGGAGAAGTTAGTTATGTTGTGTTTTCCTCCCACTGCCTGGTTTTCCACCTTGGTGGATATCAGAGCCTTTTGGTGCAGAGGACCAGCGGCGGCGGAGTGAGGACGGCGTCCAGGTAGGCGAGAACACACACAGAAGGGTTGGACAAAATAAACCCCTCAACAAAAAACTAAGCGTATGCAGACCAAAAAACAGGGAATGATCTCAAAACAAAAATGCTCCTGTAGGGGAAAACCATAGCTCATCTTCACCTCGGCCAGGGGCGGCTGGAACAATCCACAAACATACACAGGAACAGTTCAGAGTTGAACCAAGGCCGCAACCCAGAAGCAGTCATAAAAACCAGGGGCAGAACACAGTCGGCATGACAGAGGAAATCCACAGCCAGACAGTCACCCCAAAACCAGAGACCGGACTGTCTCAGGCACTGTAGGGGTCAGCGTGTCAGAAACCCAGGAAAGCAGGAATTGCTTTAGAACTTTGTCCATTCTGAGAG